TATTGTAGAGATGAGGTTTTGCCAAGTTGCCCAGGCGGGTCTCGAACCCGCAGGCTCAGGCAATTCACTCACCTTGGCCTCCCGAGCCCAGCCAGAAATTTTTTAAATTTAGGATTAAATAAATTTTCAAAAATCCTGAAAACCAATGTATGTTTTAGGCAACAACTTCCTCTGCCACTTTTTTGTAATTTCTATCCATAAATGAGATTAATTTTCTAGTTACAATAACATTTGAAAATTTTGATTATGTGTAAATGTTTATAAATGTCATCTGTTAGTCACCTGACAATAAATTATTTGATACTTCGAATTGGCTTTAAAAATTACCTAAATGATCTATTTGGGGGGGGGTGGAAAGCATTAACAGATGCTACTCTGAGCCCCTTAAGCAACCCGAGTGACTTGCCAGTTTGCAGTAGTCTGGGTAGGAAGAAAGCCATTGTCCTATGCTGGATTTTACTTTAGACACTGTAGGTGAAAACTAGCATACACCACTGTTGCTGGGTGGCTCTCACACGAAACTCTGGGGGAAAACTTAAGCTACTTATTTGTGTGTGTGTCCATTTATTACTGCTCACCTTTTGCTCTCGATGGGGAAGAGGGAGAAGAACTAATGAAAGCCTTTGTAAGGGTGCTTGATCCTGGGAGGTCCCCTCGGCTGGGACTGCTCCTGCTTGCGCTTTGATCCCCCAGGCCCCGTGGCGGACCCACGGCGGGCTCGCTCTTCCTCCGTTTCCTGAAGTCGCTGGCCAAGCTTGCAGAGCTGAAAGAAGGAGTTGGCAGCTGTTTGACTCATGCCAGAGGTTAACATGTGCACCAGCATGTGCTGGGGATGACAGTGCTACTCCTACACCCCCAACGCAAAGCCACACCCTGAGGAACTCATTCCTTGACACGAAACACTATTTCTTTAGATTCATCCTTTAAAAAAATTATAGGTTTTATGTTTTTAGAGCCGTCTTAGGCTTCCAGAGAAACAGATTGGAACGTGTAGAGAGGTCCTTTACACTCCGTTTCCTTTTGGCCACAGTGTCCCCTGACATTTACTTCTATGCGTGTGGTCCGTGGTCACAACTCATCAACCCACCTTGACGCATCATCACCCCAGGTCCACAGTCCACATTAGGGTTCGGGCTTTGTGTTAAACTTCTGTGGGTTTCGAAAAATGCATAATGACGCGTCTGTCATGAATGCATCATGCTGATAAAATCATTTTACTGCCATAAAAAATCGCTGTGCTCTACCTTTCTCTCCCCCACCTTCTCCCCCCTGGCCCCCGGCAGTCACGGGTCTGTGCACAGTCTCCACAGTTCTGTCTTTCCCGGGATCTTATAGTCGATATCATACAGAATGTAGCTTCTCAGGTGGGCTTTTTCACTTAGCAACATTCTTTTAAGGTTCCTCCATGTCTTTTTGTCATTTGATAACTCATTTTTTTTTTAATGACTGAGTAATATTCTATTTTATGGATGTACCACAGTTGATCAATTCACCTACTGACATGTTGGCTGCTTCCAAGTTCTGATAATTATGAATAAAGCTGCTATAAACATTCATGTGCAGGTTTTTGTGTCAACATAAGCTTTTATTAATCTTTTAAAGTCAAAATTATCCTATGGTGTAATATGTTGTGACTGAGAGTTCAGGGTTTTGATTGGTATCATGTATCTTTTCTCTAGAAAGAAATATATGTGGAGGAGGGGAGTGGTGCCAATATGGAGGAAAGAACTGGAACAAAGGAAGATGTCCGGTGAGACCAATTTCCCTCGCCTCAAGGGTTGCCTGCGGCTTTTCCAATCATCTTAGCTTGGAGGACCTTACTCTGGAATTCAACATTTTCTATTTAAATAATGAAGGACCAGTAATCTGATCAGCAAACACAGTCTTAAAGATTTCTTTCTCCCAGTTGCACAACATGGTTTTGACATTCTAGAATGGCAGGGAGTTTTGAGTGCAGTATCACTTAAGACAAGCATTAATGATGGAGGGACACATCACCCGGCGTGCCACCTGTCAATCGCTGGATGAGATTACACAGACAGCAGTGACAGCAGCCACAGCAACAATCCCTGCTCCTTCTGGACTCAGCAGGACGCTAAGGGCATAGTTACGCTTCTGTCTCGTTTAGCCCACCGCAGCAAACCTATGAGGTATGCAGTTATCAACATTTCACAAACGAGGACTCTGAACAAACATATCTGGCAGCACAGAAGTAGGATCAGACCTCAGATTTTGTGCTCTTCTGCAGAGGATGCCCAGCTCCTAGACTTTGCTGTGACCATCCTGTCATGTGAGGGTTCCAGTAATCCTTAGGTCAGATTAAAATTCTAACAGCAACCCGTATATCAGATTAAAACACTAAAATTTCTAATATTTCAAAGATTTTAGGTGATATATAGATAAAGTTTTAAAAGGAGGGTTTTGGGAGCTCTTTTTTCAAGTGCTATTATATAGGTGTATGGCACTGATAAACCCAATTTATGAAGGACTCAACTCACAAAGTTTTCTATTTATGTTGATAGAAATCTATAGAAGGGTAAATTGATGCTACCATGTAAATGTTTGTTGCTGATGATACACTATGGCTGGGAGTTTGTATTATTCAATATTGCTATTGGACATATCTGAATTTTATAATAATTTAAAGTAAATGTGCTATTTAAAGCTTACTAACAGAACTTACCTCGAGCATACTCTGTGAGGGCAGTGATGCCTAATAGCTACAAGCTATCTTCGTTTAATTTAATTTTGTCTCTCTCTTTGCCAACTGTTAAACTTGGTGAGTTACAAGGCTAAGTGTCACTTTTCTCAGAGATCAAGTGGGAACAATAGCATTTAGCCCACAGTATTGTCTTAGGATTGAATATGTTTATGTGTTTAGCATACCTGGTATATAGTAAACCCTCATTTATTAGTAGTAAAAGCATGTTTAATTTGTGTGGTCAGAGTATAATTAGCCAATATGCATTACACTTTTTAATCTACCATTTTTTTACAAACATGTTATCATAAGGGTTACCTGAGAATACTGAAAGTTAATTATTTATAATTCTCATCTAAAGAGAAGAAAATTGGATATATCAGAGTCAGGGAAAGGAAGAAATTCTCAATCTGCGAAGGAATCCAGAATTATGTCACTCATTTTAAAAATAAAGTATTGAAATGATCATAAAAAAGGATACAAAAACAAAATAAAAACAACTTCATAAGGTATGGTGCTTAAAATAAAAATGAATGATACATAATCCTCGTTATAATTTCACTGAATAATATTGCTCTTGGAAGGGGAAACACTGGCATAGAATATTCTGTGTGTACCTTGTGATGAGAGACTTACCTAGCGGGTCTTTCCAAGCTCCTGTCTATAGAGGACTGATACAAGGAGGCCTGTTAAGACAGAATGAGTTCTATGAGCATTTTTACCATGGCAACATTTCATCCACCTGTCAACATTAAATTAGGCATCCATCAAAAGAATATTATACAAACTGAGATGGAAAACGCCATATACTTTGATTATAAAATGTCTGCCCCAAGAGAAATCATGCAACTTGACTCTACTTTGTTGCTAAGCACTTTATCTTTTGATATATGGCATTGCATCACTCTGTGTAACTCAAATTATCCACAACCCAGCATGGCATGGGGACAAAAAAATCAATAACATTTCCTTAGGAATACTAAGGAAATACTTAGGAAACAAGAGCTAAAGTTATTCTACAACATTAATTCCAGAATCTTGCCTATTGACTGTAAATAGAAATTTCGTACATAAAGAAATGATTTGATATTAAAAAAAATTCACGGTCATTATTCAATCCTTATAAAACAAAAACCTTGACAGTTTTGTGGCTACCAAGTGTTACCTTTAGGACATAAAATAGAAACAGAACTTGAGATATTTTTCATCTGTCAACATAGACATGACACTTTAATAAAACCCATAGACTTTGACTTGAATAAACTAAAGCACCTGGTAATTAAATCAGGTACAGATTTATATCCTTCTGATAATATAAGTTCAGGGCTAGTTAAAATAAGGGATAGAATGAATCAAGATATAACTTTAAAAAAAGTGAACTTTGAACATTTTCCTTTATTCTGAATGGTACACTGAAATTGATACTAAGAAAACGTAATAGATATGAATTTTTCATTTTCTGTGGCCATCTACTGGAATCACTGCTGAAATATCTAAAATGCAAAAAAGGATCAGTACGGAGTTACCAAATATTTGAGATGACACTGTAAGATGAAAGTAGTTGTATGAAGTCTAGAAAGGGTAGGGAAATGTATATCAAGTATTATAGTTTTGGCTTTGGTCACGTTTGCTTATCAACTCATCATCACAGATAAACTTTGGTTTGGTGAAGAATTGAACATTTTTAATGTTCGTCCATATGAAGGTTTAAAAATGTCAGTCAGAAAAGTGAGAGCTGGCAAATTTTATCTTAAGTTGCTATCACATAGAAACACAGAGTATTAAAGATCTATGTAGTGGAAGTTAAGCCTCACTTTACAAACAATTTCTATAACTTCATTTTCTATTAATTTGTAAATTAGCATCAGTTAACCAACTAAAACGCTAGTATATAACTACAATTCTTTATGTAGATCAGTCTGACAAGCTCCTTTATGTGTAACTCTAAAACTGCTTCTAATAATTAGTGTTTTAATTTAATTCTATCTTATTGAATGAAAATAAGTCTTGTCCGGAAACAAACAAAAACATCTCTTTGCTCAAGAATGTTCCCCACCCTCCTTTTAAACAGAAAAAACACAATCTAATATTTTTAGTTCCTAGAAAATATTTAGATTCTTAGGTTCTCAAAAGATATAATATTAGAAAAAAAACTCTGTTCATAAGTCTGATAAGTTTATATGATTATTTTAATTTGTTGAACTCTGAATCAGACACTGGAAAGGTAAAAATGATAAATACTAAGTAAGAAAGAAAGCAAACAAATAAAAAAAGCAGTTATATTACAATTTGGAAATACTAATTTAACATGTTTGCAGAAGAGCCTCAGACACTGCTGTCTCTGTGGATTATGGCTTTCATGGGACACCCAAACACACAATCACCAAAATGTGTTGAATTCAGAACATTCTTAGAACACCCTTACAGTGATCAGAAAATGTGAATATCCAGCTTATGATGAGCCTAAACATTGCTGTAATATGAAATAAAACATGGGGTGAGAACTGATACATAATTGTGTTTTAGAGTTATGCTAAGAAACTACAATCATTATTCCTTGTGCTGGTTTCCATATGTAAAATTAACTAAAACCAATTTTGTGATTTTATGTATACTCAGAGAAAGTTCAATATTAGATTATAAGATAGCATTAAAAAAGTCTAGATTGATGGCTAAGAATAATACTTGTACAATAATTATAAGAAAAACATTCATTCTGAGTTGGAAATTGTCTCCAGAAAAGAGGTAACTCATTTTACCTGTTATGATATACTGAGTATTTACATATTACCATTATTTTAACACACCTAGAAGGTCATTTTTAATGAAGTACGAACACTGAATCATTCTTTCTATTAGGTAATCATGTGATTAAACTTTTTTTAAAAGTCCCTCATTGGTCTTCATTAGTGTCAATTTTTCAGTTATAATTGAAAAAGTATGTTATTCATGGCACATATGAGACACTTAATAAATGGTAGCTAAAATAATGTCTAATCAATTACAAATTTTACCAGAAATGTTTTACGAAAGGTTATTAAAGACAAAATTCAGAAACCTTATGAAAGAATGTTTTCTTATACTCTTGGAAAACCATGATGTAAAATTAATAACACAGTTAACATGCTATTAGAGTCATACAACATCCTCTCTCAGTCCCAAAGAGATAATGGCAAATAGTTTACCAGCAAAGTGTTTTATTTGATTTTTTGGGGGCCTGCCATAACATTATAGAATACATAGAATTTCTACTATTTTATGCCCAATAATTATTGTGTAATGTTAATTGAAAATAATATCAAAAATTAAATAGTAAACAAGAAATAATATTAAGTAAATAATCTGTCTCTGAAAGATTGGAAGTCTAAACACATCTCTTGGAAATAAAGAAAACAGCACCTCAGTAAAGGAAGAGAGATCTGTGGTTTAAAAAACTTTTTTGTTACCCTCTTACCATGTGATTTTGAACTTCTTAAAATTGTTGCACTCTACTTCTCTTAACTGAAAATGAGTGAGTTGGACACGATGCTCTCTGAATTTCATTTCCATTCTCAATAAACAACGACCTTAAAAGCATCCTAGAAATTCCTAACCAAAAGATCTGAGAAAAGTATCTGACCACATTGAATTCCAGAATAAATTCTTGGGTTGTTCATTTGTCAAAATCATACTTTTCTTTCCATTTCTTTTTTGAGTTGGGGTCTCACTCTGTCAGCAAGGCTGGAGTGCAGTGGCATGATCAGGGCTCACTCTAGCCTTGAGCTCCTGGGCTCAGGCAATCCCAACTAGTTCCACAACTGCTGGCTAATTTTTTGGTGAGATGAGGTTTTGCTATGTTGCCTCGGCTGGTCTTGAACTCCTGGGCTCAAGCAACCTGCCTTGGCCTCCAAAAGTGCTGGGATTACAGGCATGAGCCACTGTGTCTGACTGATACTCTGTCTTCAGATATGAAGGTAACATAAAATACAGAATAGAATTGCTTGTTTTCTTTTCTTTTCTTCAGATTATATGCCTGACTGCCAATCTACAAAACATAAGCCTTTAGAAAAGACTGAATGTAAAAACTAAGAATGTTCTTGATTATTTTACTTTTTACTTAATATATAAATATTTGGATCATTCTCTATTTTAACACACGGCTCTGATGCTTACCACAGGGGAAATAACTTGGAACTGGAAATCAAAGCTCTAAATTTGGCTATGTCTTCCTGTGACTCTATGCCTGCAACTCCAGTGGTACCTCCTACAGCATAAGTGTTCTAGTTTTGCTTTCTAGTTGCACGTATTTAATTAAGACTTTTTTTTAATGAAAATAAGATATTTATTAAGTATCATTGTATTCACTTAAGAACACAGATCAACTACTGTGAGAAAAGTTTATTTGCTTCGTTCTCATGCTACTTTTAAGAGTTCCCACAGAGAGGCTTTTATATAGCTGATGGTCAGCAAAGCAGTGCCATGTTTGCTTGTGTCTTCTGAGTCCTTTATCTGTTTTTCAAAATAATTTTGCCTTCTTGGTAGAGAGCAGGGTAAAAAGCTGTTGAGTCTGGGTCGTTTTTGCCTATTTCATACTCTCTTTTCCTGATTCAAATAAAAAATGCACATTGGCATACATTTTTCACCTAGTGATTGTTATAAACTCTTAAATTAGAGGTTGCAAGTGCATTTCATGTCATATGCCAGTGTTGGTTTGTCATCTTAGCTGCCTGGGTTACAGTGGTTGGTACAGTTACTAACCAAGAAGGATTAGTAATGTTGGCCAAGGATGTGGAACTGGGAAGTTGTGACACACAACTTCCAGGTATTTGTCAGCTATATTTATTTTATTTACTTCTTTTTTAGAGACAGGGTCTTGCTCTGTCACCCAGGCTGGAGTGCAGTGGTGCAATCATAGCTCACTACAGCCTCAAACTCCTGGGCTCAAGCGATTCTCCCACTTCAGCCTCCTGAGAAGCTGGGACTACAGACATATGCTACCACTTCTGCCTAATTACAAAAAAAAAAAAAAAATTGTAGAGATGGGTCTTGCTATGTTGCTCAGTCTGCCTCTTCTTGACTGATGATAAAATTTACAAGTTGTAAGTTTTTAGGAAAATGAAAGATTAAAAATAAATTTTGGAAATATATGGGACATAGACACTTGGTTACCCAAGAATTTAAACTCTTAATCCACACCTCTATGCATGATGATAAAATGGCTCCAAGAAGTCTTGTAATAGTATTTTACTCAGTCTAATAAAAATAGGTAGTGAATCTATGTATTAAGACTAATACTTTTGATTTTCACTCTGCTGAATACCAGAATTGCACTGAATAGTTTGACTGATGATGTGGTTGGAATGCTTCTCCACCTAGAGTTCAGGAACAGTCAACAACTTTGATATAATTAATGTCTAGGCGACAGTATTGGATACAACGCAATGATAAAAAGATAGATTTTTCAAACATAGTTTAGACACTGCAGTGAGTTGTAAAACAGATGTTCAGAATCAGTCACAGCCTCTAAGGAAAATCTGAAAAGACAGAATAACTTGTTTTTACCTCATTGGAAACACCAGAAGAATGATCTTGAACATAGTCCAGAGCCTTTTTAGGAGGCTGGGTGTAGAGGCCCCACATAAGCAGAATGTAGAGATGGAATGGAGGAGAATCAATGGCAGCAAGGAATGACCATGTGGAAAAGGTGACAACAGTTAGAAATTGAGTGCTGACAGCATCAGGTACACACAGAGTGAGCAAAATGGGGCAGCCTGGGAAGAAGAGTGCAATGACTGCAAATATTCTGAAGTACTGGGCAAAATTGCTAGTGTTTAATTTGTATATCTAGAAACTCACGTCAACAAATTAAAATTAGCACTCCTAATCTCTGGCCACAGAGAAATGCAAAGTATATCAAAGAAACATTCAAGGAGCAAGTGGATAGCATGCTGGTGAGTTTCCAAGTGTGGCTGAAACGATTACAGAAAATGCTGATAATTTGGGCTCAGTATGGAAATTGGTATAGTCCCTATAAACTGTCTATCCAATGATAATGATACATATAACATAAAGCTAGAGGAGGCTTTTCTTTTGAAATAAAATGTATTTATAGTAATACTAAGATACAAAAGAGAAAAAAGTGAGAGAAAACACTCCTCCTAATAGGTAACAGAAATTCTAGGAAAAATTGTTTGGTTTATATTCATTTACAGTCACTTTTGATTCAGTTCAATAAAACATAATGGTTCGAACCAAGTCTCCTTTGCAGTTTAATGAACAAAAGAGACTATCATTACCAATCAGTAAACATATATGATCAATATGCAGTATGTAATTCAGCATATGATATGGTAAAAAAAATTGTATTCTGATTTCTAGTAAAAATTGCTGAGCGGTATAACTGGTATGTTATTTAAAAGTCTAAAAATCTATGTAACTGACACACAGTAAATGTGTTGCTGTTGGTAGATACAGTTCCTAAATAAAGGTTGAATTAACCAAGGAAGTTATTTGAAGCTTGAGTTGACTCTTTACCCTAAACACACTAAACCATAGGAGCCCACCTTGGGGGGACTTCGTCGGGTGGGAATTTGGTTATTAGAGACATGGTGGTGGCTTTTACTTGAAAGTCTGGAAATACAGGACCACAGGGTTTCCTAATTTTTTCTTTCCATGTATCTCTAAGGGGAAACGAGGTGCAGTCACGTGCTACATAACGATGCCTCAGTTAATTTCGGACCCCATATAGGATGATGGTCCCATAAGATTATACTCTGTATTTTTACAGAACCTTTCCTAATTTTTTTTTTTTTTTGAGTTGGAGTCTCACTCTGTCGCCCAGACTGGAGTGCAGTGGCCGCTCCCGGCCACCGCAGCCTCTGGGCTCCGGCGATCCTTCCGCCTCAGCCTTCCGAGTAGCTGGAATTACAGGCATGCGCTACCACGCCCAGCTGATTTTTTTTTTGGATTTATTGTAGAGATGAGGTCTCGCTGCCCAGGCGGGTCTCGAACCCGCGGGCTCAGGCAATCCACTCACCTCAGCCTCCCAAAGGCGCGGGATGACAGGCTGAGCCGCCGAGCCCGGCTCTATTTAGATACACAAATCCTTATCACCATGGCACAATTACCCACAGCATTCGGTACAGTCACATGCTGAACAGGTTTGCAGCCTAGGCGCCACAGGCTGGACCACACAGCCTGGGTGTGGGAGGCTACCCCGTCTGGGTGTGTGTAAGGACACTCCTTGATGTTAACACAGTGATGAAATTGCCTGACAACACATTTCTCAGAATGTGTCCGCATTGTTAAGAATGACTGCTTTACAGTGTGAACCTGCTGGCAGCATCTTCTAGTGATAAACTGCACAGAGATTTTTTTTCCCTCCCTTCAACGGTCCTGGGTTTAACTTCTGACTCTGCCATTTACTGTTTCGGGAAAATTACTTAGGCCTGTAGCCCTCGATTTCTTCTTATGAAGGGGGCATCGGGAGGACTCATGGCGAGGATGAGTACAGGGTCCAGCACTCTCCAAGCGCTTAATGACGCCTCCGCAAACAGGAGCTATAGTAATCGTATTTATTGTCACTAACGCTTTTGGGTTTGAACTGGACCAAACGGACTGTAAACAAATATAATCTCTAAAGCGGTGGCACCGTCTGAATATTCCGGGACAGAAACGATCTCGACCTTTTGAATTTCCAGTTAACTAAGTAGGAAACGATCCAAATGCTCGATTTAATAAAACCGTACCGGAGGTGCCTGAGCACGTTTAGCCGCATAAGTGGCACCGAGGGGAGCGTGGACTCAGCTGTGCCAGGCATGTGTGCACACAAGGCGCTCAGCTTTGGCTCCCCGATGACACCCCGTCCCCCGAGAGCGGTGCTCTGTCAACCAAACGACTTTCTCCTGTTTCTCTCAGATGAACAGTCCAGCCTCACTTACCGGGCGTCCAAACTCCAGTTCTGAAAAGAATTTATACCAGGGCTCATTTTCTAACTCTATGTCATCTGGAGTTATGCCATCAGTCTGGAGCAGACGTGAAGGAAAAGGAAGGAAAACGCACGCTGAGCCGCGGTGTGGATCAAGACGCGCGCGCTCGCACCACGCGTGGCCCGCTCGCGCCCACCGGCCCGCGCGACGGGGGGGCGCCGAGGCGGC